TGGACTGTCCAAGGCATCTACGAACTGATCCCTCAGCAACAACTTGAGGAGATTGGGTGGTGCATTTGGGTATGCCTTGTGTGCCATGCTCTCTAAGTCCTGTGCCAGCTCTTGCAGGCTCTCCCCTTTAGCACGGACTCTCGTCCTAAACCTAGCCCTGTAGACTTCAGACTGATTTGGGATTCTGTACCTGAGTTCTAGAGCCGACACCAGTGCTCTATAGTTGTGTCTGTCGTCTGCTGACAACTGTCCAAGTATTTCCAGTGGTTGTCCCTTCAAACTCGTTGCCAGATATACTGCTTTCTGCTCCTCTGTCCACCCATTCATTTCTGCCAGTAGCTCAAATTGTGCTCTTTATGCTTCCCACAGTGCTTTCCCATCGTATTACTGTGGCTTCCTTCGTACTGGATCACTCCTATTACTGACATTCATATCTGGGATGTGACTTCTCACAGGACTGAAGATGTCTGCATTAGGGTTTAGCTGCAGGCTCTGGAAGAGGCTTGCCATTGTCTGGGGCTGATTAAGTCGATGGTTAATGTATCCTCCTTGTGTAAAAGACAATAAATCATCCTTTAATGTATCTAATTCGCTTTTAAATTTACTAATGTTTTCCATTTGTACTTCTTGCCACTGTTGTTGATTTTCCTGTAGTTGCTGCTGACTTTCCTGCAACTGTTGGATACTTTCTTCCTGTTTCCTTTCTTGTTCTAGTTGTCACTGCTGTAATCTCTCTTGTTGTTTCTTTTACTGTTCGAGCTGCCACTGTTGCAGGTTTTCTTGCCACTGCTGTTGTCTCTTTTCTTGTTTCTTTTCTCGTTCTTCTTGTTTCTTTTCTTTTTCCTCCAACCACTGCTGTAATCTCTCTTCTTGTTTATTTTCTCGTTCTTCTTGTTTCTTTTCTTTTTCCTCCAACAACTGCTGTAATTTATCTTCTTGTTTCTTTTCTTTTTTCTCCAACAACTGCTGTAATTTCTCTTCTTGTTTCTTTTCTCGTTCTTCTTGTTTCTTTTCCCGTTCTTCTTGTTTCTTTTGCTGTTCTTGTATTGCTGCCATCAAATCTGCTAAGCTGTAGTTTGATTTGCTGCTTCTGCTTCCATTTTTTTTTTATGTCCCACTCTCTGACACCAATTTGTTATGTCTCCGTTCCTTAGTTAATTTTCGGTAACTTAGTTCCAAATAAACAAGTCCTTTCTTAATAAAACTGGTTTATTCTTTCTGAATATAACTTTGGGATACACTTAATTTCAACAGTAGGCTATAGCAAACGTCTCACGTGCTCGACTTCAATAATACTCTCTGACTGCAGTTCAATTACTCATTACCTCTCCGTTGCTTCGTGGCCGGTCTTATATATACAAGACTACACTATATCTAGAAAGATCACGAGATTTAAGGAAAAGACGTGAAAGTTCGAGAATGACGTGCCGTGATACTAGTCACGTGACCTCGATGTCGTAACGATACATTCATCCAAATGATACAGGAAAGCTGTAAC